TTGAACCTAAATGGTTTGTTTTTAGGTGGAGTTAGTAGTTAACCGTTTTTTTTTGAGCCTTAGTCCACTCGTTCTAGTCATAATCATAAGGCTAGGGTTAGTTGAGAGGTGGCCGATAGGGTTGTTAACCCCAAACCTTTTCTTCCTTTTCTTCCTTTTCATCCCTTTTTTTTTCGTGTGTTCCATCCTTGGATCAAATAAATTCCTTTGTTTTAATTCGTCATTTGAAGATTAAGGTGAAAAGATTATCAAGTCCTGGACACATATTCAAGCTTCCGCGTATTCGGGTAAGAAATCCGTATCATAATCCCATGATAGTTCTTCTATACACAAATAAGAAAAAATAATAAAACATACTTTACTAAAAAGATATATTAAAGCCTATATTCTATCAAAGCTTTATGTACGGAAAGATCTCTTGTTTAAATATAGTTTACTGTGTAATGAAGTTGGCATGTCTATGAGATTTGCAATGTGATACCTTGAGATGCTTGCTTTTCAAGTTCATCAGCTATAATGTTCACTTCATTAAAATCTTTGATCTTGTTTGATTAAGCAGTTTTGAATTTTCTTTAGGTATACATGACGTTTCCAAGGGAAAACCTTACTATTATGAAGCACGTTTACAACTCTCATGTTATCCATCTGTACTCTTCTTTCTTCGCATGTGTTTAGTCCACGAAAAATTCCTGTTATTTCTGCTCTAAGGCTAGCTGTTTCACCAATGTATTTACTTTCCACCATTATGAAGACATCCAGTTTCACCAACTCTCGTGCTGCATATCCTCATCCAGTTTTTCCAAGTTATCACAGAGCTAATCCATATGTATTCAAAACTTTTTCCTTTGGATCTGGTTGTTTCCACCCCATAGACAAGATCTTCTTTCTATGAGGTTGTAAAGTTTTAACATTATATTTGCCCTCCAATTCCTTTTGCTCAGCTTGAAACTTTGCTCTCAATCATGAACAGTCAATGGCAGAGCCAGGGGTGGCCAGCCAGTGCGGCGGCACCCCCACTGTTTTCAACGTCTTTTTCATTGTTATAAAAAAATCATAAAAAAATATAATTTATTCATGTTCGCACCCCCCTAGAAAACTCTGCAATAAAAATCAGAAATCTTTTTACTAATATATATAAATTTGTTTTTGAAGAAATGCTTTTTTGTGCTCAATATATGTAAATCTTTGGTAAAAAAAAAATACAATAGAATTTGTTTAAAAAAATAATTAATTTCATATTTCCTAAATAATAATGATTTAAAGATCCCTTAAAGCAATAAGATATTGCAAGTCAAGGCCAAATCAATTACATAATATGCATTTAATATTGAAGTCAAGACCCAAATTCACATAAAATTGAAAGCCTAAAAAATTGTTTTTAATAAGTCAAACACTTAATTAACAAATTCAAAAGGTCAAATGGTGAAATATTCTTCAATGAGAATACATATTTTTACGTTAATTCAAGCTAATTATACTTTTTTGCAGTGGGCTTTTATTCCTTGAAATGATGTGATTTTATAGAGGGAATTGGTTTTTTTTTTCATGTTTACAAAAAAATTTGTAAAATTTATAAATTTTTTGGTCTAAAATTGCCCCCAAAAATACTTTTTATAAAATAAATATGAACTAGGTAACATTATAATATCTATTTTCAGAAAAAATGTGACAAAAAGAAATTAAATGGTTCTAAATAATTTGTCGTGGATTTTCTTAATGAGATTGTAGATTAGTATTTTTTTAATATATTCTTTTCCAGTGAGTTTCTTCATTTTATTTCGCACCCCCTACTTTAAAGTTTTGACTCTGCCAGAACAGTCAACATGTTTGAGACATCACATTTTATTTCACGGTTACAAATTCGGAAGAATAAACATTACCTTAAAAAATTAATACTTTATTACAAAGCCTTCCAAATTTCCCATGTAAAAAAAGTGGGAAGCATCATGACTACTGATTTGTTTGCTAATGTGTATCTCCCCATTGAGTACTAAACTTGTGCCTTATTCCATAAACCTGTATTATTTCAGAAAAACAAAAAATCCCAAGTACGGAAGAAAAATGTTGCCACACCTTCGTTGTATTCCAACATGCAAAGAACGCATTGATTGATGCATTCTTCGTCTTCAAAACAAAGGGGGTAGTGTGATGGTTGCAATTTGAATCCCATCTTCTGCAAGATTTCATGAAAAGGAACAATTTTATTAAAATGTTTCCTTAAGAAATTTTTTTTTCAAACGTATCAATTTATTCCAAAAGTTACATATAATTGAAATTTCTTCTCGCGACACCCTTAATGCTGAATAAGCTGTGGAAGTGGTGAAGTCTCTTGATGATGATGGCATCCACACAAAAATTAAAGGTCTTTCCAATTTGTAAATTCCAGCTCCTTAGATTCCAAGCGTACTTTCCTTTCTTCATCGAGAGAACTGTCTATTTCCTGCAAAAACAATTCGTTTTGAACAAAAAAAAATCCTTCATTCGTAGAGCAGGAAAAGGTGGTTCACATAGAGGGCCTATTTGCAGCCAATTATATGTCATACGAAAATGAAGATGATCCTTCACCAAAAATAACCTTCGTCCTCGCCGAAGAAAACTGATCGATTTTATGAACTCTACTCCAACTTGTCCTTTTCCTTAATGATTCGGACAAAAAGAGAATGAGATTCGCCCAAATGCCTTTGTTACTATTCATTTTCCACCACAATTTTTTGGAGAAAGCATCTATGTTATCCATCAACTTGCGAATTCTCAGACCATTTTCGGGAGTCGGAAACGTGAGTTTATGCCATGCTCGCCAATGTCGATCATAACCACCTTCATATTCACCCCAAAGAAAATTTTGAAACTCAGTCTCCAAGGAAGTAATGATAGATTATGGTGACAAAATAGGTGCAAAAGTATGCAAAAGGAATAGATGAAATCAGATGTTTAATCAACAACAGTTTACATCCCGCCCATAGAAACTTATACTTCCTGCTGAGCAATCTCGCATCAAACGTATCTAAGAAATGATGAAAAGATTTTGATATCTTCCTTCTTTTGAAAAGCTTACTATCTAGATATATAAGTGAATGGAAGTCCGCCCTTGGGCATTTTAAGCGTCTTTGTGATCAAGTTTATGTGATTTAGCAAGCTCTTTTCTTATGCTAAGAAGAAACCTTTTTTGCTTATTCATCTTTAGATCCATCACTTCCTCATAATCCAGAAAAAATATATTCACTCTATGAGGTTGATATTGTATACTTTTTCCGCCCAATATATCCAATTTTATTTGTTTATTTTTAATATAAATGAATTGTACTAAAAATAAAAATCAAAACGATGACTTTGGAAAAAAAGTGCTAAAATATGTAATATTTTTGTATTGGTATATTCGTTGAATGATCCTAGGCTTTCACTATAAATTCTAAACCAGTTGTATTTGTATATATAGACTTGTTGTAAGCAGTGAAATACTCACATAATTATGCCGGCCATATTCTAATCTTATTAGAAAGTACTATCTCCATTTTTTATCTATCGGTTTAGAGTGAATCCAATTTTTTTTTAATATGTCGCACTTCATTTTCAATTATAATATTAAATACAGTTTCTCTAATTTCACTCTTATCTCTCTCTACTTTTAATAACATATATAAATGACAACGAGCTACTCTTTTACTTCAATTTCAAATATTTGTGAGTTTCAATACTTTTAATTAGGGATAATAAAGCTATTATACTTAAAACTTAAATTATCAATCATTGCTTTCCTAATAAAGTGACAAATAAAAAAACAGGAGGTAGTATAGATTATGAGCCGGTCATCATACTCACTCAACACATATCTCATTCAATTCATATACATACCTTGAAGTCATTTTTTGATATAGTTCTTGTTCAATGGTTTTTATATGTATCCTTTTTTTTTTATTCGATTAAGTAATTTTATTATTTCTGTCTATGAAGTGTAGTATTTACAAGTTTTATACCTGCACACCCAAATCATTTAATCGACTCTCCCATTTTCTATTCTATTTTCACTACTTAATTTTATTTTAGCTCCCTTTTCTGTTACCCAAGGGAGATTCATCAATTAACCTTAACTCTGAGCCATGAAACAAAGGTAAGCTAGATTAAACAAGGGGAAGTTTAATAAAATAAATCGGATGAAATGTACATATTTATGAAAGGTAAAATGAACCCATGTTCATAGTCATCGAGTATCACCTGTTTGTGCGAAAATTATCAGTAGAAACTGACGCACGCTTGCAAACAATATCAAACGAAAGTGTGTAATTCGTGAAATGCTGTATTCGACTAGGCGCGAAGAAGAAGGGGATAACACTTGTAATAACTTGAATAAAACTGAATTGATGATAAATTGATGAACTTAAACGAAATACAATAAGTAAATTGAATAGAAAAGACTTGTGAAAAAGATATTGAAATAAAACAACAGGGTGCTAAAAGAAAGAAGAGCTTTGCAGTGTGTGTTGTATTTGTGTTGATGATAAGTTGTGTTTTGTATCACTCTGTTCTTCCTCTTTATATAAGGCTTGGTAATCGTTGAGGCGGTGCGATCTCCGATTCCTACTCGAATGTGGTATTGTCAATTTAGAATCAGAATTGACTTTTATTTCCAATTTCTTGTTTCTTGTCATAATTGTAATTCATCTTGGACTTAGATTTGACTTTTCTCTTGCGCCGGGATGGGTTTTCGACGCGTCTCCTTCTTCGATTCGGATATAGATTCTCCTCTTCCGCGTCGGATGTGTACCTCTTGTGTAATTGGGCCGATTCACCACTTTTGTTAGGCCAACTCGATTTTAATAAGAATCGGTGGTAGCACACCCATTCACAAGCCTCGACTTTCACTTTCTTGCACTTATCAATGAACAAGAAGAGAATTTTTGACGAACATCAAACATATAATAACATAGAGAATGCTTGAAGAAATGAACGACAAAATCATAAAGTTTCGTATGAATTCATGAAACAAAAATAGAAGTACTCCGAGCACATTAACAAACGATCTTAATTTCATTAACTTTTACATATTTTGATTACATTGGCAAGTATGCTGGATTTATTTAGCTTAACATGTGGTAATACATATAGTCATTGCAACAGCAATTAAGCTGGCTTAGTTTATTTAGAGAACAACAAATTATGCATCAGATGAATTAACCAGCAGTCAATTATAATTATCGTCAATCGCTCCTCAATAGCAACCGTATACAACCGTGAGGTTGACCCTTTCGATGTTATACAAAGTGGTTTGGTCAAGAAATATCGTTTCGAAGGTGACGTAACCGGTGGCAAATCGGAACTTTCCAGTTCCACCGATTATAGCATATTCTCTTACCTTGGCTAATTTTAAGCTCCGTCCTTGGATTTCCAAGGTACTACCATTGAATGCTCCAGTGGTGAAAGCTAAACTGACATAAATATTGACGCTTTGTGAATCTCGAGACGCGGTCACGTAAAATCCTTGTAATTTTCCGACTAGGCGCGAATTGTTTGATACTCTTTCAGTTACGCGATCTTCAACGACGATGATGGTGCCGAAAGTCCAGTTTCCTGGACCGGCGACAATCATATTGGTTGCATTTGGTGCTCCCACGGCGATATCTTGGGCGTACAAAGTCAGCTTTTTCTCCTTACATGGAGGACGAGGCTTGGCCGTAGCGGACAAGGCTAAGAATGCCAGCATGAAAGTGAAACATAGTTTAATGGACAACGATGATGATAGTGATGAATTTGGTGCCATTTTCTTTGAAGGTGAAAAAAGAAATGTTTAGGTTGCTTCCAGTAGCAAGAGGATCACCTCTATTTATAGTGTTCAAAAAGTGGTGATCTAGATTGAACTTTTCTTTTTTCTTTATTTTTTTCCTTTATATTTGGTTAGGTTTTGTAGTCCATATTCTAGTCATATTTTATTCATTAATGGCTTATGCATTGGGTAATAAAAACTAATTTGCAAATTGACTCTACACCTTACCTAGCATTAGGGGTGTTCACGGTATGATTGCTCCAATTTTTAGAGCAAATCATGAACCAAACCGATAGAGACGGTTTTAGAAATTACAAACCGACCAGTCCATGTTTTGGCTATAATGGGAGAGATGCTAATATATAAATGTATAAAGCTTACAAATAAATATTTAATATTTATTAATGGTCCGGTCCGATTTGGGCACCATTTTTAGTATCCCAAACTAAGAATCGAACCGTTCTTTCTGGTTTTATAATTTTTAAAACCGCTGGATTGAAATAAAATTTCTAAACCACCCATGAAACCCTTACCGTTGACCGGTTGGGGGGTTGAACGGTTCGACCCAAACCGTGAACACCCCTGCCTAGTATTCGTATGTTGGTTGTATTTAACGATCACTATTATACTCACTATGTTCCAAAAAATAGTATTTTTGAGTTCTAAGATTTGTATTAACTTCAATCCATATTGAAAATTATATTTGAACTATTTTTCTTGAACAGAGGGGTAGTTTTCTAGGCTGCTAGATTAGCATCCATTAATAAAATGCCGTGTTTGGTAAGAAATAAATAGATGGGGACCAGCAAGTTAATTTTAGGTTTGTGATAAAATATTTCAGGTGCACATTATTTAAGGGGTAATGATATTGCTAACGTAAAAATTAGCTCTGAAACAATTCATTTTCTAAATTACGTTATTAGTCAAATCTCTAATTTTCCAATCCCCATCGTCTTGTTCGATCAGCGCCCATTTCCCGATCCCAAATTTGCGCATCCATCTCCATCAACTACTCCCTCCGATCCTTATTATAAGATATCTTGATATTGTTTTAGGTTTCACCTATGATGTCTTTATAGTTGGAAAAAAAAAACCTTAAAAATATATTTTTATATTCGTTGTGTTCTCTTAATTATTAGAAAATGCTGTTGAGGTTTTTATTTCAAGTAAAAAGACATCATAAGTGAAACCTAAGACAAAATCAAAATACCTTATAATGAGGACCGGAGGGAGTATATATTTAGCATAGAGAACTCTTCTTTGTCTTCCGTTTTTCTCCCCTCCAACTACTCGGTTAATATTAATTTGAATATATTGGATCTTCGTTTTGGTATCTTGAACTTGAAGACTAGATATTATCATGTTTATCGGTTTGGGATTCCTTCATTAACTTCATGTTCAATTTTTAGTTTTCATTGTGTGTTTCTTTCGTTTTTTTAAGAACGAAATTTGGTTTTTTTGTCCTCTTGTTTCTAAATTCCGAATTTTGTTAATGACCGTGCTGTTTGGTTTTGATTTTCAATAGTTTTAGTCGTCCTAGAAACATTGTTCTTATTTTGCGTTTTCACATTATTGTTGAAAAAATTGCAAAGCTCCAAAAATTTTGAAATTAATGGTGTGCGAATGATTATTCATGACAAACTTTGGAGAGGAAAAATTTTCTTGAAGGAGAGGAAAAAAATTAAACTGATCACAAAGCTATCACTGATTTGAGAGTATCGATTTTTGTAATTGAAACTATGTGTTAAGATACATCAACTAATAAAAACTATTACCCACCCAAAGATAAGTTCTTTTGGTTGCCAAATTTTCTAATCTTTGAATACTTTACCAATAAGAAATCATACGATTTGGAAGGACATACAGAGGATGAACAGGCGGTATTGGCTAGAATTTACAAGAACATTTTGTAGTTTTAGTAAGAGGGGGAAGGGCTAAGGATTTACCCGTGTGAGATATCACATTGTTCGAGGAACTCTAGATGTTGTCGGAGTAAAAAATTGTCAACAAGCGCGTTCTTGTTCCTTGTAGATTCTTATCCAAGACTTGTATCATTTGATGATGCTTTATGATATTTTTAATTGTAATGAGGCGCAGGAGGAAAAAGAAAAACTGTGCTCAAAACCTAAGGGAGAGAAATAGCAGAAGTGGGATGGCCATGGTCATTGAATCGTTGCTACACCCCAAAAACATATGTCAAGATTAGGACATGACTACCTAAATGAATAGAAAAGCATTTGTCTTGTGGTGAAAAAAAAAAGCAAGAGGACACGTTTAAATCTCCCAAGATCCTACTTATGCCTCCAAAATTGGATGACGAGATCGAATATATAAAAACCTGAGACTTTTCTTTTTTTAAAAAAAAAATTATCTATTTTGATTATGTTCTATCCTTTTCTTTTTACTAATTATGTTCTCATCATTTTTCTCAGTTTTGAATGGTTGGTGTCTTCTTCAAACATACACATACGAAGAAGGCCAGGATGAGGCAGCAATGCAATTGACAAATTCATTTGGTTTAAGTTTAACTACGCCACTTCTTATAGCAAAATTCTTTTTGCAGAATTTGGCGCACCACAAGTTCTGCTGTCCTTTGATCACAAGATTTTTTTACTGTGCGTTTTGTTTTCTCTGGAATCAAACTGACATAAAGTGGAGACTGGCTGATGTTCTAGGCTGAAGGCAGGAGATAGGATTCTCTTTTAAAGGGCTTGGACAGATTTAAAAAGTTTCAGAAAATTATTACAAGATGCTGCATCACGCCGTTTTTCACGAAAATATCCAGGACTGGCAGCTAAATCGTAAAAGCATGTCTTCCAACTCATTAGCTCCGACATAGTACCCTAAAAACAAGAAAGAAACACTCATCAGAATGAAGGTGGAATGACGTAGACGGACTGGGGAGGGAGGAGGTCAGCAGAACAAACATACCCCTTACATAACCACCATTTTCAGCGTCATAATTCACCATCACTCATGTATTCTGCAAGTAGAGATGTAGCACAACAAATCAACTTTTCAGCATACTCTTTAGCTTCATCATAGCACATCTTCTCGATTCTGATGCATAGACCACAAATCAGAGTGACTAAATTGACAATAAACGGTTAAAAGAGATTGCCTGCGTCTATAAACACCACAAACAAACTGTGAACCAGCTCCAATAGCATCATATCGACTATGAAACAGCCTACCATCAGCATGTGGAAAACAAACAAGGACACTACGCAACGGGCAAAAACAATCATTCATGAGTAGAAGGACCTAGTCATTGAAAGCAACCTAGAAGAATGCTGCTAATGCTGCTAACCTTGCTTTTGTTGTCCGACCCTGCAATTAGTAATTTTGCCGACGATTCCTTATCACAATGACAACACAGATGGTCTGCCACCCGCCATGATAACTCAAAGGGCATCTCCAACGCGTCTGCTGAGCTGGGCGGACGCGTTGGATTTGGTAGAGCGGGCTCTCCAACGCAGCTTGTTCCGCTCTGCCCTGCTCCTTCAAACGACCCGTTACTCCTTCAATTTTGAAGGAAACTGTTCACCCGGTAAAGCGGGTGGACTTCCCTTTTTTTTTTTTGATTTTGTAGTTTTTAATAAAAGGCAGAAGCCCTTTGGCTTTTGAGAATAAATGAGAGAAAAAAAAATAGAGAACTCAGATAATTTTGGACTTCAATACATACTGAGACTTCTATTGATACTCAAATTTATAGAAGGAAAAAATACACCCACAACTCCGCTATTTTTACCAATACATAATTAACTGAACTTATCTCCTACAAATATGCAAAAGGAACATGAAAAGACTCCTCTAAAATATCTCAAACAAACACTGCAACAACCAAAGACTAATTTACCAAGTAAAACTAATTTTATCTTAATTAACCAGTTTGCAATAAAAAAACAATAATTACTAACAAACTCCTCCATGCTTTTTTGCTGCAAACTCTATCTTCCCTTCAATTTCAACACATTTATCTTCAGAAAAAATCTTCAACTTCTTCTTGATTCACCTGAGCTTGTGTTTTGTTCTTACACACCTTTTCCATGTGACTTTATTCTTTACATCCTCTGCATTGAATATCAGGCCTACACCAACAATACTTTGGTAGATGAGAAGGTTTCTTACAGTGTATACAAGGAGAATATTTTACACTGTTATCACTGCCTTTGTTCTTGAGCTTCAAAGGTAGAAAATAGTTCAACTAGAGATATTTCAAACAAATCTCTAGATTCTTCAAGGGAGGAAATTTTTGATTCGAACCTTTCTGGTAAAGTCACCAAAATTTTTTCAACCACTCGTTTGTTAGGTAGATCCTCTCCCAACAATCTGATTTTTTTGACCATTTTTATCAACTTTTCTTTGTAATCCTTCAGTGGTTTAGTCTCCTCCATCTTTAGTATCTCGAATTCTCTTTTTAAATTCAAGACTTGCATCCTCTTGGTTTTGACGTCTCACCTCATCTGATACTGCTGAATGAATGCATGTCTTGGCCTTATTCCTTCTCTTCTTAGCCTATCTAAATTCCCTAATTTGAGCAATCGTAGGATTCCTTCTCTTCTTAACCTCTCTAAATTCCCTAATTTGAGCAATCGTAGGATCTTCTGGACGTGGTTGAACTTGATCATCTTCAACCAATTCCCATAATCCACTGGCTTCTAAATAAGATTCCATTTTCACTGCCCAAGTATGGTAATTCTCTCCTTCAAAAATAGGAGGAACAGAAATAAAATTGCCTCCTTCCATCGGTGAAAAGTTTTAGGCTAAAAGAAGTTTTGTTTGAAGAAATAGATCCTCACTACTTCACTCACACAGGTCCCTCAAGAAAATGGCTCTTTGATACCAATTTGTACTTTTTAATACAAGGCAGAAAGCCCTTTGGCTTTTGAGAACAAACGAGAGAAAAAAAAATAGAGAACTCATATAATTTTGGACTTCAACACATACTGAGACTTCTATTGATACTCAAATTTATAGAAGGAAAAATTACACCGATAACTCCACTACTTTTACCACTACATAATTAACTGAACTTATCTCCTACACATATGCAAAAGGAACATGAACAGACTCCCCTAA